TGTGTGGTGTAAGGAAATGGTCCAGTTTCATTCTTCTGCATGTTAGACCAAAATATCAAGAGTGCTGAGGCTGAGACACGGTTTAAGGAGAAAGGTCTTCAATATGTAAATTCCTAAAATATTCCAATAACAAACCAGAGAAGATGCTCTGCCTTGACTGTCAGGTAGAACAATCCCGGTATGGGTTAGCTCACACAGAAAGACCACTTTGGTTTGTGCTGAGCATCCCGAGTCCCATGACTCCTGCCTTTGGGGCAGGACCTCAGCTATCCAGAATCCTTCTTTAAAATTTGACAATGAAACAAAGAAAGAAAGACCATGCCTAGAACAGACTAAAGGGGATCTCCAATAGCCTCGAAATTGACATCCTTTGGGGAAATGTATCTGCTTGTTGATGACTTGAGTTTTTCTAATATGGACAAAGATGAGCTCAATTAGTCCTACCAGTGGAGCAAGCAGGAAACTGGGCCTGTGGGTGGCTAAAGGCAGGAGGGCCATGATCAAGAGAACAAAAACAGCCGCTGAGGACCGCGAGGCTAGCCAGTGTTGGAGAAGGATGGTGGGCACAGCCAAGTGTCTGTTCTGCACAATCCACACTAGAAAAAGCAGCCTGAAGTGCAGGACTTTATTATTTTCCACTTATTATTATTATTATCTTCCACTCATTTCATCACTTAACACCCTCACTAATGACTCTGAGAGGCTTTCAGGTGGCAAAGAGAGTAGCATCCAGTGACACATTATCACAAAGTGAAGAGTTATTCCTGTTTCGATGGTCTTTTAATCCATAATATTTTAACATGGAGAATAACCTTTCTCTCTCTTGCTCTTTGTTCTAGCCATCTAGCTAGCTACGTGTTGGGGGAGGTCACTGAGAGCATGTGACTGCTGACTGACCCGTGAGCTGGACCCAGGCAATCAGAGGTTCCTCGCCCCACTCCTACCCTGTCTTGCCCAAGCTAGAAGCTGCCCTAAGGACACAGTCCTGGGAAAGTAAGGTGCTGTTGAGACCATCTGGACATATATGTGACCGAACCCAGTTACGGTCTCTTTATGAACTTTTAAGATTTGGCAGGTGGGTGTGGGAATCAATTAGTGTTGTGACCACCCAAGACGAACTTCATGTATAAGCTCCCTTGCTGCTTAAACCTGCCACCTACCAAACCTGGAGCAGTCTCTTTCTGTGGTCTCTCTTTGCCCTCTGTGTCCAAGAGCCAGTTTGCGAGCCAACACTCTAACAGATTAATTTTTAACCAGTAAATACATGCGCATGGCACAAAACTCAAAAGTCACTAGAAAGTTTACAGCAGCAAGGGTCCCTCCCATCCTTGACTCTTGGACACCTAGCGCCCTTCACCAGACACCATGACAGTGATAAGTCTTTTGTACATCCTTCCATAAACACTAAGTGGATCCAATTATACGTATGTGTGTGTCTATTTTTAGTGGATGCTTTTTCCCTGCAAATGTTAGCATACTATACCCACCACTCTGAGCCTTCCTTTCCTTTTTGTGTACAAATACCTCTTCGGTCATTTCCCATCATGACACACTGAGTTGTTCCATTCTTCCTCTTCTTTTATTTTAACGGCTACACAGATCACGGAATGAAGAGGAGAAAATTTATTTTAAGAAGTCCTCCACTGGATGGTGTAACTGTCACAACCCAGGGCCTGTGCTCATGGCACAGGTGACTCCCAGGAGGAAGAATCCCCTCTTAAGGAGGGAGGCCGAGGGTGAATTTGTGTGTGGACTTCCAAGGGCAGGGGTGAAGGGTGTTAATTGGGCAAAACCTTGGTGGAAATTAATGATTTGATTTTATTTGTATAGATGCTTTTGAGATCGATGAGTGAGAAGGAAGCCACTAAGCAAAAAGAGGAAGGAAGAAATGAATCAAGGCTGTATACCTTCATGTCAAAAGGGGGATAGTGACAGTGTGCAATCAAAGATGGCAAAAGAGAAGTTAATGAACGGTAATCTACAACAGACTACAAATTAGTTCTATTTCTAAAGAGATTCTCTGAGATGAAGGAAAAATTGAGGGTTCGGTGGATGGCACATTACTGAACCTCATGACTGTCTATAACTGAGGTAATATCTGCTTTCTCCTCCCGCCCACCCCCAGTCTGCTCACCCCCACCTTCATGGATAAGGACACTGAGTCTCTTCATGTAAAGGATATAAGGAAGGATTAAACTGCCCAGTGATTTACAGAAGCCGCTGAAATTGGTCTCCCTCTATGAACAAGGATCTAGGCTGAGGCCACCCGATGCTCAGGGAGATATGAATGCCTGGGTAAAAACACCTTACTTACCAACCTTCATCCCAGCCAGCGATCTTCCAGATCAAAAAGAAGGTATTAAAATAATCTTTCCCCTGATTCTAGAGTACCAAAAGAACCTGAAGAATTAAGGTTAGGAAAGACAGAATGTTCCAGGGTTTGGAAGTTGACAATCTAACTTTTCTGAGATGACTCTTCTCTCTAAAATAACTCGGGCACAAGCAACACAGTTTGCAGGTTGACTCAGA